CGTTGAATACTCTCGATGTACTCTTTGATAGGCGTCTTCGCGTCGTATTCTCGTTGTAACGTGTCTACCAACTCCTGACAACTAACGTCCAATTTGTTTTCCACCAGTTCGCTTTCAAAATCTTGTTCGCTGACAGGAATCGCCGTTAATTTCGTCTCACCGACCGAGGAAGCCGTACTTTTATCGCGACCGTTGTCCGCGACCGTCTCTTTCGTCGATTCTATCACGCTGATCTCTTCCGAAGATTTAGTACCGGATTCTTGTTCGTGATCCGTCGATCCATCCAACGAGGATAATCGTTCCTTCTTCTTCATCGATTCGTAAGCTTCTAACTCCTGGTTGAAAATCTGAGACGGTTGCAGCGTTTCTGATATCTCAATTTTCTCGTCACCGATCATCCAATCGACGGGTTTAATTTCAAGTCCGCGAACTTTCGGTTTCGGGGAGACCAGTGGAGGACTTTCGATTTCGAAGCTGTCTGCTCTTCTCGTACTGATCGTCGGCAGATCCTTCTGCATCGGTATAGGCTGAGAAGACTCCTGTACCAAGGAATAATCTATATTGGTATCCTCGGATACGGTACTAGGACTTATCGTTATATCCCGTTCTTGATCCATCTTATCGAACGAATCCATTTCGGCACTCTCGTGCAACGACGGAATTCCCCTACTTGTCTGCTCGGATATTTTATGTTCGTCCATTTCCAAAGAAGGCACGTCAACCGAATCTTCCCTGGATTGACTGTCTACGCCAGGTTCGAGAATTTCCAGAACTCTGGCACCTGAAATCTCCGATACGATCTTATCCCGAGGCAAACTAACGTCACTCTGGAAATCTCTTTGCAATTCCACTTGACTGCTCGACTTGCTGAATCGTTGTTTCTCAGATTGTGCACTCGAGGTTGGTTTCGACACGCTTTCCAATTCGTTCGTATCGACGTCGATGGTTTCTTCGAAATCTATTTGCTCCGATATGCTGCTAGGGCTCATCGTAATGTCTCTGTCTTGCAGTTTAGCCTGGGACGACGAAAGAGGAAAACTTTCTTCCTTTTCCTGCGGAGACGATTCCTCGTCTTTAGTTATATCTTCGCTGACGCTTATACTGTCTCTCGTAGAACTTTTGTCCAGGGATTCTTCCTGTATCGACGACCTCAGTCTCGGCGATTCCATTAAACTTTCGTCGATTTTCATTTGTGCCGCTTGCTTGTCCATCGTTTTCCTCATGATACTTTCGAACTTGCGCGTCAAATCGTCAGCCAGTTTTTCGTGATCCGTTTCAACGCTTTCGCTTATAATTTGCTCCAGATATCCTTTGCCAAGTAGTTCTGCTTTCAAATCCTCCGCCGATTTTGCTTCGATTTCCCTTTCGATCGATTGAATCAAAGTCTCCGCTATGGTACGTGCCTCGATCTCTTTAAACTTTAGCCGTTGCTTTTCCTCTAAACTTTCTCCCGGTGTTGTTACTTCTTCTTCCATTGCTTCGCTCGCTTCTTCTTCCTTCTTCGATAAGTCTTCCTCCTCCGTTTTCCTCCTCTCGCTCGGAACGAATTGAATAACGTCGAAACTTTCTTTGCTTTCTTTGCGCGATTCTCCTTGCGCGAGCGTTTCGATGTGATCCGAATCCGCAACTGGTTTAGATATCCTCTCCGTCGCCGGTTTCCCTTCTACCGTTTTCACCTCATCCTTCTCATCGTCCCTTTTTCCACCGATATCTTTCTTTATCCGAATGGCTACGTCGGCATCGCTTTCTCTTAACAGGCTACTACCCGCCTCGCGAGTCATAACTCCCTCCTTGTCGGATAACTTTTTCAACGTCTCTTCCTTCTTCGTTTCGGTTCTCGATTCGGAGGCAGCTGCGTCTATTATTTCTTGCGTATCCGTCAAATTCATCGACAACTTTTGAATCGCCGTTTTATCTAATTCCTCGTGTTTGCTTTTCTTCTCCTCCAACGTCTCGGTCGGCGATTCTTTTTTCAATCGCGACTCCGACGATTTCTTCCTCTCCACGCGTTCCTTCTCCTCCAGCGTGATTACTTTGTCCCTACCGTTGGAAATCTCCGACGACACCACTTCCTTCTTTTCCGTCGTAGTGGAAGTTTTATGATCGATCTTCGAAGTGACGGTGGCGAATTCGCTCTTTGCGCTTTCCATGTCCTCGAACATTTTGAAAGCTTCTTGCGGATCGACGAACGATTTGGAAAACGTTTGTGTTTCGCTCTTCGTGGTTAGGTGCTCTTCCAATTTTGAAGTCACCTCTTCGCTCGATTTTTTTTCCGTTATCGTGTACGATTCGCTTTCTTTTCTAACATGCGTGTCCTTCTTTCCAGCTTTATCCGATGTTGGCTTGATATCTATAACACGTTTGGGAATTCGAGATTCGAACTCTTTCTTCTTAGTTGTCGGCGAAATTTCTTGTTCCTCCGTGCTTAATTCCTTGTCGCTCTCGAGTTTACTCGGAATCTGTTTTAGTTCCGTTATACTCTTCGGTTTCGTTTCCTTTTGCATTTTGTCCTTATCTATCTTTGCCGTTGAAACGGGAATACGCGACTCGAATTCTTTCCTAACGTGCTTCGTTTCCATCTCGGTTACCGTCTTCTTATCGAGCGTAATCTCTTCTTTCTCCTCTTTTCTCGATTCTTCTCTCTTTCCTTTGATTTCTCCGTCTTCGACCTCTTGGATCGATGAGATCGCCACAGGAGATGCTTTCTCCGATTTTTCTTCTTCGATCGACGTTATCTCCTTCTTCGTCTTATCTTTGACTTCGATTTCCGTCGCTCTTTCACCTTCCAGCAATTTTTGCATCTCTTTTCTGATATCGCTTGTAAACGTAATCTCCGGTGTAACTTCGCTCGTAGATTCCACTTCGTAGACACTTTTCGTTTCGATCTTACTCTCGGGAAGTTGAACTAGCGCGGCGGCTAAAGCCTCGCTTCCTCCTTCTACTTGAACCGATTTTAACACCTGCTCTTGAACCAGAGTGCCATCTTTCTGCACCTTGTAGATAATGGTAGTTTCCTCCGTTATAATGCGTCTTCCAGTCGATTTCTCTCTAACAACGTCTTCCTCTTTTATCTCCGGCGTTCTAACTCTTTCCCGCACGATTACATCCGTAACAACTTTTTCACTTTCCTTCTCCTGTTTTTCTACGTGTTCGACAACCTCGTCTTGCGCCTCTTCCCTTTTCGTCTCCCTTTCCGTCTCCCTTTCCGTCTCCCTTTCCGTCTCCCTTTCCGTGATTACCTCGCGTTGTAACTTTCTCTCCACCGGAGCTTCTGTTATCACCTGCAATTCCTCCTCTTTTTCTCGCGCGTCGGTTATTTTCTCTTCTTCCGTTTCTTTCTTCTCGATATCCTTTTCTTTTTCCTCGCCACCTATTTCTACGCTGACTTTCTTCGTCGCTTCTTGCTTATCTTCCTTCTTCTCTTTCGTACTCTCTTCCTTCGCAGTTACTTCCGCGACCTCTTCTTCCTCCACTGCTTCTTCTTTGTATTCCATCTTCTCCTTTGTACTCTCTTTCTCTGCAGCTACCTTTGCGATAGCTTCCTCTTGTTCTTCAATCGCTTCTTCTTTGTATTCTTCCTTTTCTTTCGTATCGTCTTCCTTTACAGTTACCTCCGCGATCGTGTCCTCCTGCTCTTCTCGTTTCTGTCGTTTTAGACTCTGGTCGACACTTTCTTGCAAAATTACCTCGCTAACAATTTCTCGCTTTTCCTTTCGTTCCTCCTCTATACTTTCTTTCATCCTCTCTCCTTCCGTACTCGTCTCCACCCTCTCTCTTATATCTTCTTCCTTTGTCGTTAATTCCAGCCTTGGTTCTTCCACCTTCTCCTTTACTTCTACTCTTTCCTTTATGCTTTCCTGCGGCATACTTGCTTCCACAGACTCCGCAACATCCTTATGTCTCTCCTCTACATCCTTCGTTTCTTTCGCGCTTAATTCCATAATTGACCGTTTTGTATCTTCTCTTTCTACCTTTACATCCTTTACGATATCTTGTACAGGTACTTCGGCGATAACAATTGCTCTATCTTCCTGCTTCGTAACACGTTCAACTTTTAACTCAACTAATTGATCTTCCACCATCGCGCCACTTTCTTCCGTCTTCTGCGTCGTGTCGAGTGATTTTTCTTCGGTCGGCATCGATGGCTCCGCCTCTTTCTCGACATGCTCTTTCCTTTCTACATGCTTATCCTTTATTTCTAGAGGTTGCATAGAAAGCACGGCATCCGTCTTTTCCACATCCTCCTTCCTTTCTCCCTTTTCAGTCGTTTCATCGAGTTTCGCTTTGGCTAATTCTATTTTAGCACTTACATCCACGTAAGTCGGTTTACTCTCGTCTTTTTCTTTCTCATCTTCAGAAGACAATTTCATCGTTTCTTTCGTCTCCTTCCTTTCCACCTCTTTCCGCTCTTCCCTTTCCAAGGTAACGATTTCTCTCCTTTCTTCCGTCTTCGTAACTTGCTTCAATTCGGTCACGTACTTCTCATCTTTGTCCAGCTTTTCTTTGTCGCTCATCTTAGTTTTCGTTAGCTTCTCTTTGTCGGACTTTAACGAGTCTTGTTGAAGCAACTTGGGTGGAATTTTCGTGGTTTCTTTCTGTATCTGTTCCTCGAAATACTGAGCCTTCTCCGCCACCGAGCACTCGGAAATATCAGGTACGTTCAAATCTTCCAACGTTTCGGACTTGTCCATCTGCTGGACGATATCCGCCGTGTCCTCTGTGGTAATATTATGTATATACTCACTGTCGCTTTCGTTTATCGTTAACTGCGACGTTCTCGACATTTCCGACTCCGATCGTTGATAACTTTCGCGTTTCCTTGAAATATCCTCCCAGAATTTTCTCTTCTCTGAATAGGTTTGTCTCTCGACACTGGGCGACAAGTCTTGCTCTTGTCCGACTACTTTACTGGGATAACTAGCATCTACAGATTCTAAGGAACAAGCCGCTTTTTGCGCAAGGAATTCGTGGATAGTAACAGCATCTAGAACAACCAAGAATTATGCTCACATTACTTTTTATTAGGTAAATACATATGCACGAAATACATTGCGTATATTTACAGTTTCGCATATAACTCTTAAAGGATTACACGATCAAACTTTCACAAACATAACGAGTAAACACGATTTTTATACTTTATAGCATTCTTTTTAGAACGTTATTAGACACAACACTATCGTAAACTCTGTTTACTGTACATATAACAATTTCTTCTTAAAAAGAAATACAATTTCAAAAATAAGTTTCGTCACCGAGGTATCGTTAATTTCATTAAACTTGTAACATGCACATAACAGTACATAAACATTGATATGCATATAACTCTAAATCCCTTTATAAACTATAATTGCTTTTGTCTATCAATATCCGTGGATATTGGTATCCTTCGAGACTTAAAATTAATATCCCATACGGTTGTCTATGATAATGTCGAGGACGGCAGTTTTGTCTGCAATTATAAGTACAGAAGATTGCGTTAATACTAAGTGATAACAATCGAGCAGAAATATTTTCTATCTATAGATTCTTGTAACGCGCGTGTAAGCGTGATTCGTATTTTTATATTATCACGATGACTTTTTTCGTTAATGCTCGTTTTCCGAACGAAGCTCGCGTGAATCGAGCCAAATTTCTAATTATACCTAATTACGTTACGCTAATAGGTTAAACGTTAAATAAAAATAATAGTAACTGTACTCAAAGCATGGTGCAAAAGAGAAAGAGAAGGTTTGCATAGTAAGTTAATTTTACGAACACGATAAAGATGAGAATAGTTTATGGAAAGTAAAAGGCACGAATCATCGCTCGTTCATGCTACGATATTTTCTGACCTGAAATAATACGCACAGATTCATCTTAGTTTCTCATCCGAATTATTACATTTCTATAGGTATAAGATTATAAAAATATGTTCTCTACGAGCATCGAATAAATTTGCGAAAATGATATATATGGTGGTGGTTGGTAACTGGTGGTGCAAGCGAAAAGGGGATGATTCTACGCGAAAAAACAAGTCGAAAATATAGAATAACAATTTTTCGTCCGAGGCTTTGTTTTCGAGAAAATCTACTTTGAATTTTCGCTCGGTACGCGTGCTGTACGTTACAACGGATCTCGCTGTAGATCGTTGTCTCGATGGAAAAATTATTTTTAATTTTTTAAATTTTAACGAAGTCGAAAATATAGAATAAAAATTTTTTTTTTAATTTTTTCCATCGAGACAACGATCTACAGCGAGATCCGTTGTAACGTACAGCACGCGTACCGAGCGAAAATTCAAAGTAGATTTTCTCGAAAACAAAGCCTCGGACGAAAAATTGTTATTCTATATTTTCGACTTGTTTTTTCGCGTAGAATCATCCCCTTTTCGCTTGCACCACCAGTTACCAACCACCACCATATATATCATTTTCGCAAATTTATTCGATGTTTTGAAAATCTTACAACAGAAAACTTTTGTTATTTTTTGACTTGGAAATCTAGTCGTCGAGTATGTGTTTACCGTATAAGTAATGATCAAATGCGTAATTACAACGACGAAATTGAATCAACGTTTTAATATTTTCAAAAGATAGCGATCGTAGGAAGATATTTACATTGCTGAAGTAAAAACAAATTTCCAAAGCGTGTACGTAAAACATGGTATATCACTAAAACGTTGGATTATTTTCTAAATTATCTTACGAGACGTGCGATTAAAGTATAAAAATATTTAAAGTCCGAGATTCGTACAAAAATTAAAATATCGAAGAAAGGAAACGTTAAAGTATTTTTTTTTTTTATAGTACAACATTCTTCTTTTCTTTTAAACCAACATATTCAACATTATAATAAAAGACGTATTTTTATAGCTCGAAAGTAAAAATAACGATTAAGAGTAAGCTTACATGATGCAGCTACTTTGTAAATATACGGAATAAGACTTTACTCTATATTTAACTCATCGTAGATCAATTACAATTAATTAACTTTCGAATATTTTAATAAGTAATATAACAGTTCTCGTTTCCGTTTGTTACTTTGTTCTACAGAAATCAACGAAAGACATGATATATGTAATTAAATAATTATAAACGATATCGAAATATATATAAGCGAAAGTTTAACACAATCCTACATATATTCTCTCATTTGATTTAAATTTTATATTATCCGTATTTTTAATTTAATATGCGTTACGAAATAAGTCCATTTGTCGGACAAAATGTAATAATATTTGATTCTACTCCGAACAAAGGTATATAATCGATATGATTATTCCAACGATTTCTTGAAGAGTCCTACCTCACGGTCAGTGACAAGTAATCCATTGTAATTCGTATAATATTCTGAATTCCTCGATAAACATTATGTTTAACATGATGTCGAGTCGTATGATATTTACTGTATATGTTTCGTAATTGTATAACATATATAGCAATATTATAACGAGCAAAGAGTGGATAACACAAGGGACAATATGCAGTGCGTTCTTGCAATACATTCGATACATAATTGGTCAAACTAGATTTAATATATATGAGATTTTCATCAGAGTCTAAATAGCACAATATTTCTCGCTAGAAAGCGTATTTTCTATATTCGTGTCCTTACCATCCACGCATTTCGAATTAATTTATTCATTCGGATCGACTTCTTCGATGTCCGTATGACAATCGCTGATCGCGTCGTCACCAATATCTTTCACAGTTAACGTGTTCTCCATTTTATTGATATTTCTCATAATAACTTGAGACGCTGCCAGAACGTCCAAATCTTCGAGCAATTCTTTATGACTGCAACAGGCTTCTTGCATATCTTCCTCCTCGGATATATCCATATCTTCCTCGTCGGTATTCGACATAACCACGATATCCGGCATGCTACTGCCCAAACCGTTTCGCGGTTCTTCTTCCCGATACATTTTATTTCGCACTTCTACGGAAAACGGTCCGTCACCTTCCTTCGTCGTTATCGTTTCTCCGCTATAGTCGCAAAATATATCGCACCTCGGTTTTACGTAAATCATCGAGTGTACTTCGTCTTCGCCTTCGAAATCCTCGAGATCCGTATCACCTTGACACGGAGTTTTGCCAACCTTAAGGTTATTCCGATCCTCCTTTCGCTCGTTTTCTGGCTCGCTGGCATAAATTTCGTCAACGTCCGTAAGGTTTTCGATGAAATTATTCGGCTGAGACGAGCCTTTATCATCGGGTGACAAAAGCTTGGAGCCTTCGGCCTCCACGTCGTCCGACGTTACAGAGATAATCGGTCCTTGTTCTTCATCCGCCGTATAACTCAATGATCTGATTTGAGAATTAATGGACGTTAACTCTCCTTCGGAATCGGTATCGGAGAAATGTAACGACGTATTGTTAATCATAGCGTTCAGTTTTCTACGCGTCGATCTCAATTTACGCTTTACTTTCGCGCCTGTAACACTTTCCTTCGATTTCGAAGGACTCGAGTTTCCATCGACCATCTGCGAACATTCTACGGTCTTTTCTGCATTTTTCCCCGTCTCTGAGCGATCGTTGACTCGATTGGGATCTAAAGAATCTGTACCGGCTACGATCTTATCGATGGATAGTCCCTTCTGGTTCGCAGATTCGAACGTGCAATTTTCCTCCTGTTTGTCGCCTGATTCTTCCATGACGAGAAGCGACTCTCGGCAATGAGTTTCTTTCTTCGTCTTTTTTAGATTTAGCGCGCAGATCTTAAGTGCAAATTACTAAAGAACTTAAAAAAACCTGAAACTGAAAATTGCGAAAGAAAGAGGAAATTAATGCTCAAAACGAACAAAAATACGAGAATAATATAAAACTGGCGTGTGTTATGGATAAATAAAGTAAAATCAAAGAGTGTAACAGATATTTAAGTACACTGGATTTAAGTAAGATAAACTCACATGTGTCAAATTGTGGTAGGGTGATACTCAAAAGAAGATAAGTTTTAAAGATACTGCTTCCAGTAGTGGTTCGAATCAAACTAAACAAGGTTCGTCATAGCTACGTCGAACGTTTGTTGATACTGTTACGCATAATTAAATTAAAGAAGCCTCACTCAACGGTCGAGCCATAAGCAGATTAACTTTTCCTCTTAAATAAAAATAGAATTACAGTGGAATTTTGCTACCGTATGGAGCGTGATCGTTTTGAAAATAACTTGTCTTTTTCGATGTAATAGCGAATTCACCTAAATTAGCATAAAAATCGATCGTCGTTTATTTTATCGCAGTCGTATGTGTTTGTGATCGTTAAAACAATTTGCATGTTAAAAATACATAGTTCCTTGTCGTATTTCAATATACATATATATACATATACATACATACATGATATATACAGGGTGGTTGGTAACTGGTGGTACAAGCGGTAAGGGGGTGATTCTACGCGAAAAAAGAAGTCGAAAATGTAGAATAACAATTTTTCGTTCGAGGCCCTGTTTTCGAGAAAATCGACTTTGAATTTTCGCTCGGTACGCGTGAATTATAACGGATTTTTTCACTGTAGATCGTTGTTTCGATGGAAAAATAAAAAAAAAGGATTAAGCTAGTCATCTTCCATTTATTTGGCAAGTTACTAACTTGAAGTCGAAAATGTACAGTGAGATCCGTTATAACGAGACGCGATAAAGTGCACGCGTACCGAGCGAAAATTCAAAGTGGATTTTCTCGAAAACCAAGCCTCGCATTTATTTGGCAAGTTACTAACTTGAAGTCGAAAATGTACAGTGAGATCCGTTATAACGAGACGCGATAAAGTGCACGCGTACCGAGCGAAAATTCAAAGTGGATTTTCTCGAAAACAAAGCCTCGAATGAAAAATTGTTATTCTATATTTTCGACTTCTTTTTTCGCGTAGAATCACTTTCCGCTTGTACCACCAGTTACCAACCACCCTGTATATATACATATATAGATTTCCTTTCTTTGCACCTTGCATTTGAATATTCGACGACACCACCTGGTGTCTTGGAAACCACGTCTCACTGTGATTTATAATTTTTATATACCGTTATAACAAAGTAGAGGATATTATATTTCAAAGTTTCTAATTTGTCTAATATAAAGCGAATAGGTAGAAATGAATATCATACCTGTTCGTTCTTTTTGTAAGGTGTCGGTAATAAATTTCTGTTCGGAAGGCGAAGTATCTTTAGGTTCGTCGCCTTTTTCTTTTTGTTCCATCTTGTATTTCGATTCGTAAGAATCCAATTTTTGTTCGATAATATTTGAATCTTCGTAATCTATAACGAAAGAATGAACGACGTGATTAAATATACGTATCTTATGTAGCACATGTACGAGTATTATCGAGGTCCAGCGCAAGAGGAAGCTACACGTCACAGCAATAACGTCGTTTTTATGGAAAATTTTGTGTTTCGATAAAAATTGCATAATTAAGACTATTATGTTTTTACTTAAACTTGTTAATACGAAGGTAGTGTATCTGAGGAAATGTTTTATTCTTCATTCTATTTCCTATATGCTTAGATCTGAAAATTTGATTAAAGAGAAGGAGAACTACATGGAAGTTACTTTACATTTAGAAACATTCACGGTAAAAGCAGGAATTTTCTTACGCAGTTATCGATTAAGGGATAATAACTAAACACCAAGAGATTTCGAAATGAATAAAAATCTCGTTTTTCAACCTTTTGTGGGATAAATCCCTTTTGCACTGGATCTCTTGTCCGACGTTAAAACGTTCAACAAATTTTACCTTTCAATTTCTTCTGTACTTCCACTTTAGTCGTTATTTCTGGAAGAACGATATTCAATACACAAATTGGTTGTTGAGGTGGCTCTCCTTTCGCAACTTTTGGCTCTCGCATAAACAGCATCCTGGCGACAGGATCTAACAACGGATCTTTCACTTTTACGTGAAAAGATAAACGATTCTGACGAAACGCTTTGAACGTAAATTTCAATTGTACACCCGATTTCGTCACAGGTACTAAATTCCCACTGAATTCGATATAAAGATCTTTCCCATCGAGCGCCTACAAAACAAATATGCTAGTTAATACGTTTCTATCAAAATTACGTATATTCTTATGCTACTTTACAGCAAGCTCTTTTGTATGTGTACATCAAATTTTTGTTATTTTATCTTTGATAAGCTCTATCGGGTTATAGGAAGATATCATCTTCGCAAAGAACAAAGGATACGCAAACGCGTTACATTGATTTACTAGAAAACGAGATTTGAAATAAGAAATCTGATTCTGTATCGTCAGCTTGTTCTTTCTCGTAAAATTATCGCTTTTTGAGTTGTGTCGCTTATTCGATAACGTCATATTGGTAAATTCAGGTTGCTGCTCCTTTACTGTCTTTTTTTCGTTTCTTCTTCTCCTTCTTGGTTGATGATCTCGATAATTAGTAATTAGTAATCAAACAATATCGTATTTGATATCATTTCCTTTGGTCGAATTTATATCGAATACACATTTTATTCGTCACTAGTCGTCATTAGGAGGCTCGAACGCCACTCGTTATTACTGGAATTAATTTATACAAAGAAATTGTCAACTAACATACATGCATATGTATATGCAACTTTAGCCGGGCAAAAATATGATTATTTATCCAGCAACATTGCAAAAACAAATTATTTTCACCCATGAGAATGTTGGTATTTTTCAGAAGAAATAATATTTAAAAAATAGAAATAATTAAACATTGTAAACATAAATCTTAAATCTAAGTCGCAAATGATATGTCTCCTTTCCTTCGAGATTGTTGAACCGTACCAAAATTATTTCTAGCATAAGAATCGCGTTGCTGGTCACGAACAAGTCAGAAAATATTGGTCGCTTTTACAATATAAATCTCTACGAAATATCCTCTACCAATTATTCTTCGACTGTTCGTTACTGCTAAAATAAAACTTATTCTATCTCAAAGAGGACGTTTTATGACAAGACAGAGAGAAGCCAAAGAAGAATTCATTTTTACTGCTACGAAATTTCGCTTGTTTCATCTTGAATACGTGATCCTACCACGCTATCATCCTACCACGATTGAAAAGTGGTCCGTTTTTTCGTCCTAGTCGGAAGATTGAACCTGTACATATGCTTGTTAATAAACGTTGGTAATTGAAAAATGGTACGATACAAGTCGTATTTATTTTTAGATGTTTTCCATGATCTTTGGATTGGAAGAATTTTGTTTAACCGCAATGCAGAATTTGTATGCTTTTTTTAAGAATATAGCTACGTACGAGTTATGTCAGTTAATTTTCCCTAAATTTCACCAACAAGTAGAAAATACGCACATTGCGTTAATCAAATATTTCTTTAATTATTTTATTATCAAACGAGTAACTCGTTGGATATTGATCACTGTCAGTTGTTTATCGTATAATTAAAAAAAAATGCTTCACGTTACTTGTAAAATGTTCAAATACATGTAATACATTTTTTACAAGTACATTTTTACACATAGAATATCGCCTATTTTTAGTCTTACAAAGGAATATCCCCTGATCAATGAAACTTATGTATGACGTAGTTTTTGACAAAATATCTCACACGTAAAAAAATACGTGCTGGCATTCATGTTGAAGGATTCAAAACAACCCCCAAAGTTGGGGCTTGGTAATACGTTTCACAGAATATCTGGAAAACCATCAGATTTCGAAAAATGATTCACACGTAAAAATTGCACATCGTACGTCGCACATAACGACAAATCGCGATGAATATACAACAGATTATGACGATTCGTATCGAAATGTTCCAAGATTAAAGTATAAAACAATATATTACGCATTACGTTACCACGTTAATCCTGCAAAGGTTCCTCGGTGTTACAAAATCAAACAGAAAATATTCGATATCCATAGCAGAATTATGGAACATGAAATGAATGGAATTTGTTGTGCGTAAAAATAAAAAATGCGTATTAAAGCACACGCCATTACCAAAAATGAATAAATCTTTGAGATCTTCGAAAGAGACGATACTCGTTAATAATAAATCGAATAAAATAAAACTAAATACAATCGACCCTCCTGTAACGCGATTAATTCGTTCCGTGTTGCATCGAAACTGTATTATAAAAATATCGTGTTACAGAAGGGCTGTCCAAGTCTATTAAATATTGCAAATCCATAGCAGAATTATGGAACATGAAATAAATGGAATTTGTTGTGCGTAAAAATAAAGAGTGCGTATTAAAGTACACGCCATTACCAAAAATGAATAAATCTTTGAGATCTTTGAAAGAGACGATACTCGTTAATAATAAATCGAATAAAATAAAACCACATACAATCGACCCTCCTGTAACGCGATTAATTCGTTCCGTGTTGCATCGAAACTGTATTATAAAAATATCGTGTTACAGAAGGGCTGTCCAAGTCTATTAAATATTGCAAATCCATAGCAGAATTATGGAACATGAAATAAATGGAATTTGTTGTGCGTAAAAATAAAGAGTGCGTATTAAAGTACACGCCATTACCAAAAATGAATAAATCTTTGAGATCTTTGAAAGAGACGATACTCGTTAATAATAAATCGAATAAAATAAAATTAAATACAATCGACCCTCTTGTAACGCGATTAGTTCGTTCCGTGTTGCATCGAAACTGTATTATAAAAATATCGTGTTACAGAAGGGCTGTCCAAGTCCATTAAATCGTGCCATATGGAAACCGTAGTGTAAGAATATCACGTTATATGACAATCGAGCGAAATACATCAAAGAAAAGAAAACGAAAAATGTGTGAATACACGCGTTCTTCGGTTCTTAATGAATAAATCTTTGAGATCTTTGAAAGAGACGATCCTCGTTAATAATAAATCGAATAAAATAAAACTACATACAATCGACCCTTCTGTAACGCGATTAATTCGTTCCGTGTTGCATAGAAACTGTATTATAAAAATATCGTGTTACAGAAGGGCTGTCCAAGTCCATTAAATCGTGCCATATGGAAACCGTAGTGTAAGAATATCACGTTATATGACAATCGAGCGAAATACATCAAAGAAAAGAAAACGAAAAATGTGTGAATACACGCGTTCTTCGGTTCTTACGAGTGCGATAAAATAAAATT